GGTCCGATGTCAGCAGTCATCCTTACCTTGTTGGAGCGCGGATGGCATCCCGAGACTCCCACCAAGTGGCACCTGTCAGATGAGATCGCGTGGGAATTTTCCAGAAGAAATGTATCATGAACAGCAAGCACTTAGTAATGTCAAGGCCTCGTTCGATGACTTTGATCAGTCAGCGGCGGTTCAGTACTGGCAGCAGGCTTCTCGACATTTCTGTGGCAGTGGTGCGCAAGATGGAGTGGGCAACGTTTCTCTGGGATGGCTGCTCAAGTATCTTGAAGTCCTCCCCCGCGAACGTGGGCTAGCGGAGGTCATGGCCTCCATCAGCGCGGGTGGCTCATGGCCGCGGGAGCGGCGTGCAGCCGCTACAGCCAAGCTGGATATCTGCCCGCTCTGTCCCCGATGTCGGAAAGATGTTGAGTCGGCCTATCATCGCAGCTGGATCTGTGAGAGGAATGTCGAAGCATAAGCGCATCGCCGGTCAGACGAGCTGCTGCCAGCAGCCGCGGCACAGCACGAGTGTGATCAGGCGTTCTGGCTGCGCGGGCTGATTCCCCGAAGCTGGACGGAAGTCACACCTCCTTGTGCGGCGGAGGCGTGGCTCGGCAGTGGCTCTTTCGTAATGGAGTTGACGACGACGCAGCAGGAACAGGTTCAGTTTCACAGCCAGTCGTTATCTTTGGTGATGCTTCGGGTGGTCCTGACTCCAGGGACCCCCGCTTTCGCCGAGTAGGATGCGGTCTGGTGGTGGCTAATAGCGAGGAGGATTTGACCATCCAAGGAGTCATCCTGGGCCCGCTGCCAGGGAACCAGACGGTGCCCCGCGGTGAGCTGTATATGCGATGGATGGCAATTCGAGTTTCCACAGATCACCTTGTTTATATCACAAACAACCAGTCAGTTTACAACGGCTTGTACGACAAGCAGTTCAGGAATCCGAGTGGTGAGTCTGCAGAATCGTGGGCACGCGTTGGAGAATAGCTAGGTCGCCGACCAGCTGAGCATACCATTGTGTTGTTCGTGAATTCTCATATGACGGCCGCAGAGGCGGCAGCAGCGTGTGATCAAGTTGGTTGGTCTGTGGGAGCGCCATGGCTGACATCGTTGCAGGAGAGGCGGCAATAATGGCCAGGCTGCCCCACGTCGATCGCACACGAACGAGTGGCGCAAGTGGAACATCGTGCATGTCTGGTACGAATGAGGCTGCTACGGGCGGCCATTGACTCGATGGCAGCGGAGGAGGCCCTGGCAAGGGCCCAGCAGGACTGCCGCCGAGGGGATCTGAGTGAGGGAGGGTTCCCTTCTCCTCCTCCTCCTCCCCCTCCTTTGCAGCTCTGCTTGCCGCCGCCGTGCCCCGATGCTGTCTCCATCCTGTCCAGTTCGCACGCGTTGGACGATTCGGGGCGTCGGTGCCGCAGGTGTCGTGGCTCAGCGTCGATCGCCGAGCGTCGGAAGTGGAGAGGGTCACCGTGTTTCAAACTCGTGGCCTTGGACTGTGCGTTGCGAGCCCTTCCCCAGGGGGCGGAGTTGCACATCGCTGGGGGGTGGGTGCGCAGGTCTCACAAGCTGAGGTACCATCAGGACGTCACTGTATGGTTCTGTGCGGTGTGTGTGTGGCATGTTTGCTGATCAGCAGTTGCTTGGGTTGGGGAAGCAGTGGGTGTATAAGACCACCCCGACCCGAGCTGGCTACCTAGCCAGAATTAAAGTTTCGTTGTGGCCAAAAGCCCTCACGGAGGCCCAGCGGGCCAAGAGAGTCCAGAAAGGGCTTCCCATTTAAGGCGTCTGAAGTTGGACATCGTCCAGGGACTCTTACTCTTACTCTTACTCCTCCTCCTCCTCCTCCTTCTCCTCCTCCTCCTCCCTCCTCCTCGCCCGGTGGGCGGCCGTGGGCGCCTCGTGGGCGCTCCGTGCGCCGGCGGGGCGTGCTGAGGTGATCTCGCCCGGCGGGCGGCCGCGGGGCGCCTCGTGGGCGCCTCGCGCCGGGCTCGGCGGCGAGCGACGGGCTCGGCGGCGAGGGAGGAGGGAGGAGGGAGGAGGGGGAGGGAGGAGGGGGAGGCGAGGAGGAGAGGAGGAGGAGGAGGAGGAGGAGGAGGAGGGAGGAGGAGGAGAGGAGGAGGAGGAGGAGGAGGAGGAGAGGAGGAGGAGGAGGGAGGAGGGAGGAGGGAGGGAGGGAGGAGGGAGGAGGAGGGAGGGATGGGAGGGAGGGGAGGGAGGGAGGGAGGGAGGGAGGGAGGGGGAGGGGGAGGAGGGAGGGAGGGAGGAGGAGGAGGATGGGAGGAGGAGGAGGAGGAGGAGGAGGAGGAGGGGGAGAAAGGAGAGACATCGAACCAAGAATCATGGGGGAGTGAGAGGGAGCAGGCCTCCTCAAGGAGGCGGCGGGACCTCTCGGAAGCCCCCGCCGCCCTCTGGGGAGCTTCCCGGCGGCGGCCTCCTGCCTCCACCCTCGCATGGGTGCACGGGGCAGGGGGAGGAACAGGAGGAGGAGGAGGAGGAGGACGAGGAGGAGGAGGAGGAGGGGGCCTCGGTCTTCGGCTCGGCGATCATGGCGCCATCGCTGTCCGAAGGAGGGCCTGCTGCGGCGCCAATCGCCATCAGCACTGCTCCACGGGGCAGCAGGGGCCTCTCCGGCCGCCCGCCGACGCTCGGCAACGTGCTGCTTGGCGTTGTTTGCATGGCGCCTGCAGGTCTCACGCAGTGCCTCGGTTCGCACTGCCCCGACACGCTCAGCAGCAGGAGCAGGAAGACCAGCATCCTCAATATACTCCAGGATTTCCTCGTCCGCGAGGCTGCCCAGATCTGGCTCACCAGCAGGCCCAGCCGCGACGTCCTTGGCGTTTTGTTGCGGTAGCGGGGGCTGGCGCTGCTGTTCCTGAGCAGGGCTTGGCGCTGGCCCTGCAGCAGCCTCGGCGGACACGGGGTCCGCCGCAGGCGCAGGTGTGCCTGGCGCAGGTGCTGCCTCTGCCGCCTCACGCTTCTTCCGTCGATCAATGTGTGTGTGTGTGTTTATGTGTATGCGTGTATGTGTATGTGTGTTTGTGTGTGTGTGTTTTTGTGTGTGGGTGTGTTTTTGTGTGTGCGTGTGTGTGTGTGTGGGTGTGCGTGTGCGTGTGCGTGTGCGTGTGCGTGTGCGTGCGCGTGCGTGCGCGTGCGTCCTCCGCGGGCCTGCTCTCCACTTCGCCCCCTCTTCGCCGGAGAGGCGCGGCACGGCGCCGGGGGCTCCTGGAGAGGCCCGCCGCTCTGCGCGGGCCTCCTTCGCGCAGAGCAGCGCTGCTCGACGTGGGCTCCCGAGAGGCCCGCCGCGCTCGCCCCAGCGCGGACCCGACTTTCTCTGTCTCGTCGCCGCGCACGGGTCGGGTCGGGCGAAAGGGGGGGATAGCAAAGGGGGTGTTTGAGAATCAGCTCACGTAGCTGATTTTCCTGGCGCCTCTCGGCGCCGGAGGCGGCTATGTATCGAGGAATGGGCCCCTCGGCGGGGCCGAAACCAGCTGCATGCAACAGATTTCGTAACCCCCCTTTTCCCAATCCCCCCCTTTCGCCCAGCCCGAACGGGGCAGCGACCGCCAATATAAATGTGTGCGTGTGTGCCTTTCGGCAGTGAGCCCGGGGGGGGGGGGGAAGGCCTGCTCCTTCTCGCTCTCCCCCCGGGCGCGCTGCCGAGCCTTCCTCGCCGGGCCAGGAGGGACGCGGCCTCACGTTTCAGCGGCTCGTCAACAGAGCATTTCGGTTCCGCAGGAAGTCCAACCCCCTCAAATGGACTGAGCCACCCGACGCGTTGACGTTCTCAATCATTTCTGGAGGCCTCCGCCGCACTACCAAGAGCAGCCTTTAGACATGGCAGCGAGAGCGGGTCCAGGATGCGCTTGGCCAGGATGAGCCTGGCCGGGATCGGTGCAAATGTGTCAGTCGGCGCTCTGCGGCCCTGGTCCAAATCCGCCGCCCCCTCTGCCGCCGCCCCTCCCTCCGCTCCTGGCATGCTCGCCGCACTCTCCCGTGCTCAACCTCCAGAGGCCCGCGCGATACTTAGGGCTCGCGCTCGCGCCGAGGAAGCATGTGCGCGTGTGTATACGTGTGTGTGTGTGTGTGTGTGTGTGTGTGTGTGTGTGTGCGTGTGTTCGTGTGTGTGTGTGTCCCTCGCCGCACCGCGCCACCCCGCGGCTGCACGTGCCTGTATCCTTTCGCGCATCCTTGCTATTCTAGATTGTCAACCGCATGTTGGTTGCCATCGACACACGCTCGATGGTAATCTGCTTAGCGCGATCCGCGAACGCCATCGCTGAGTTGGACCAACCCGCTGCGAAGAAAAAAATCAGTGTGCGCCTCTTCCGAGAGCACCCGCTTCTGCGTTCTTTCCTGCGTGCGACTGCCCTCATCAAGTCTCCCCATCTGCCACGCCAGGCGGAAACTGGCCTGGCGCATCGCGACGGTGTAGTCAACTCGCCGCTGGATAGAAAGCGCCTGCGTGTGTGTCGGGTTAGCGGCAATGACATCACTCGGCCGCTGGATGAAACAAGAATGCGTCGGAGCCCTTGCCTTGTGCATGATCCTGCCTCTCTCCCGTAGGGCATGCGCGGCGGCCCCTGGGGCGCTCCGCGCGCCAGGGAGGGGGGTCAAGCGCCGATCCAAGCAATCCGAGCTATGCTGACCTGCCTGATCCGATGTAGTCAGCAGCCGACAAATCGAATACCCTGACTCAGGCCTGCACGATCAAGTTTGACGTAATCAATATATCTGACAAGGAAGCGCGCGCGCTGGGCACGACCAGTGCGTGAACGAGTAGTCAGACGTGGTGAGCCTCGTTTGCAACAGGATGCTGGACTGGCTGCCTATATCCCCCTCCCAACTATCGGTGCAAGTCTGAGGATGCCAATCGATGACGCCTCAATCGCAAATCCAAACACAATGAACGTGTCCCTGAGACCCTGCCTCCACCATCTCCCTGTGCTTGCGCACCATCCCCTTGCCCGCCGCTGCGACCCCTTAATTGATACCACTCCCCAGTCCTTCTCTTCGTCTGAGCCGGAGTCAGAGGACGAAGACGAGTCGGAGGTCATCCGCCGTCCGAACGCCAAAGCGCGCTTCTACTGCAAGCGCTGACGAGCGAAACGGCAGCGGCAAGAAGTCACCGCGTCTACCTGAAGGGACTGAAGGGGCGGCGGTGGCGGCGCCGGCAGGAGAGGGGGGAGGCTGACGGCGTGAGTGGCACCATGAGCAGCAGGAGTGCCTGCCCGACGTGCACTGCTCGGCCTGTGGGCCCTGAACTGTTCATATGTTGCCGGGATGCCGATCAAGAGGTCGGGGGTGAAGTTGCATTGCATGACTACCAGTGTTCGTGGGCTCCTGGTGGGCTCAGCGGAGCGGGATCTCCAAGCGGACCCAGACGAGACCTCGCGCTCCAGTGAAGAGTTGCCAAATGCTCTGCTGTCGCCACGTTCGTGGGCTCCCAGGAGGCTCAACGGAGCGGGATCCCCGCACGGACCCAGGCGAGGCCTCGCACTCGCGCACGGGGCCGCCCGCTGCGAAACCGTCGCCACGTTCGCGGGCTCCTGGGAGGCTCAGCGAAGTGGACCCCCAAAACGGAGCCAGACGAGACCTCGCGCTCCCTCGCGGGGCTGCCAGCTGCGCAACCGCCGCCACTTTCGTGGGCCCCTGGGAGGCGAGGAGGGGTGGGGCTCCACGCGGAGCCACACGAGGCCTCGCGCTCCCTCGTGGAGCTGCCGGCTGCGCAACCGTCGCCACTGTCGTAGGGATCTTGTTGGCCAAGCGGAGCGGGAGCACAACACGGACACAAACGAGACCTCGCGCTCCCTCGCTGGGCTGCCAGCTGCGCAGCCGTCGCCACTTTCGTGGGAGACCCAGCGGAGTGGGATCCCACGCAGACCTAGACGAGACCTCGCGCTCCCTCGCGGGGCTGCCAGCTGCGCAGCCGCCGCCACGTTGGTGGGTTCCTGGCGGGCCATGCGGAGTGGAGCCCCATGCGGACCCAGACGAGATCTCGCGCTCCTTCGCGGGGCCGCCAGCTGTACAATCGTCGCCACTTTCGTGGGACCCATGCGAGGCCCAGAGGAGTGGGGCCCCGTGCAGACTCAGCCGAGAAATCGCGCTCTATCGCGAAGCTGCCAGCTGCGCAACCGCCGCCACTTTCGTGGGCTCCTTGGGGGCCCCACGGAGTGGGGCCCCATGCAGATCCAGACGAGACCTCGCGCTCCTTCACGGGGCCGCTGGCAATGCAGCAATCGCCGCTTTCATGGGACCCCTGGGAGGCCCAGCGGAGTGGAGCCTCGTGAGACTCAGACGAGACCTCACGCTCCATCGCGGGGCTGCCAGCGGCGCAACCGCCGCCACGTTCGTGGGACCTCTGGGACCTCTGGAACGCCCAGCAGAGTGGGCCCCGCGCAGACTCCGACGATACCTCGCGCTCCTTCGCTGGGCTGCCAGCTGCGCACACCGTCGCCACTTTCGTGGGCGCCTCCACAGGTGCCGCGAGCTGCACGGCTGCCGCCACGTTCGTGATCGTATGGGAGGGGGGGGGGGTAGCGGGATGCAGGATCGCGCAGGTTTCGATCGCCGTCGCCTCCCTCTCTTCTTCCTTCCTTGCTGCAGATGGGCTGCACACGTCCCAGGATTAAATTATGTTGTTTGTCGCTGGTGGTGCGCAAGGCGGTTCATGTTTGCTGTGGTCCATCATAGTACGCCACTGTGACACCCTGCAGAAGAACCTCGGGGCCCTAGCCCAGGCCCTCTGACAACAACTTTCGACAAATCAGTATGTCTCGTACACGTGTTGTAGTTCTGCTTGACCGACACGTCATTCCAACTTGTTTCATATACGCTCAGCTCGTAATTTGAGTCACGCTTGGCGCTCATATGTTACACAACTTGATCACCTGTGTCCGAATTTGTTCGCAAACATCATAATATACTTGCGCTCGACGTCGCGAGAAAGCAACACAGCGTGACCAATGATGCATGGCACTGCAATGCGCATATGTGTGCGTGTGTTACAAGTGAACCGCACGCAATCACGCACATATCGCGTGAGGTGTTGTTGAGCTGGTGTGTAATGTTGCACTCAGTTTGAATTCCAAGATGCGATGCTATCTGTCAGTGCTAAGCTGGCGCAATACCCTCACGATCATGTTGGATTATAGAACATGCGCCATCTTCCTCTGCACTGAATCCACATGACGGTGGCAAACATGCGCATACATCCAAAAATGCATTGAAACGAAACCAGCAGGACAACATCATAACGCTACCGCCAGTCGGTGAATCGAGACATAGCGAAGAGATGCGATAGGAACACTGCTGCCCGCCGCCCAGCTGAAGAAGCAGCATGAGCAGCAATACCTATTCGCCGCACGAGCCCTAGTATCGGCGGTGGACAAATCTCCCTTTAGTAAACCTCCCCTTGGTGAAAACGACCTGGGACCGAAACCGACGGACCTGGACCCGCAAAAATAACGGCCGCGACGCCCCCCCCCCGAACCGAAAACGGCCAATTCACTAATCGACGTGTCAGGGTAGGGGGTCTGTCCACCCCCGATAGTAGCAGGCACGCCCATCTGAAAAAACAGCAGGACAAGCAGCAAGACAAATTCGTCAAACGAGCCCTATCCCATAGCAACAACAAAACACGTGCGACATATATTCGGCAGCCCTGGGCGACAGTGCACGCACGCAGCACGAGACATGACACACGAGAGTACGCCTTCCTCGCGGGGGGCTGCCTCCAAGAAGCTCTCTTATTCCTAACCTCTGACGATGTACACTCGTGTCTTTCCTATGCATATGCACACGTCTCCAGATCTGTCGCACGACCCTTTTGCCAGAAGACTGGTCACACGAATTGCAGGCGATTGGAGCACACCCGCCAACGCCCTCGCATCTCACGATGCGCCGACGCCCGCACGTGCTGTAATGTGTCAAACCCAGAGATCCGATGTCGTGTTTTTTTCAATGCGGGGTCCCTGAGAGTCTCGACCCATTCCCCAAGACCGGTTTTTCATCCTGAGTCGTTTTTGACGGTCCCGGGGCCCGGCGAGGGCCCCTCGAGGCCGAAAAATGCGAAGAACCTACGTCTTGTTTTTTTCAATACGTTGGATCTCTGGGAAGTCACCACCTACTCCTCCGCGGGCCTCAACGGCACCCCACGCTTGGAGTCGTCCACCCGGAGCGTGAGCCAGACGGCAGAGTTGCATTTGAACCCGCTGCCGAAGGCAATCTGCAGGACGCGGTCGCCCCGCTTGAGGCCACCGTGGCGCTCCACCCAGTCGGCCTCGTACCAGATCGAGGACGAGGACGTGTTGCCCCACTCGAAGAGCGTCTGCACGGAAGGGGACACCTGTGAAGGGGCCCTGGGACACACAAATAAGTAGGCACACCCATATCTTCCTTTATATTTCCTGGAGTTCCCACATTTTCCTGGGAGTCGACGATTCATTGTGTCTGTGTTTTTCCCTCCTGAACCTGGTCTTCTCTCAAGTGCAAGTTCTTCTGGACTCCCTCGATCACTGCGCGACCGCCGGCGTGGATGCAGAAGTGGTCGATGCCCTTGCTGAAGTTCGGCATGTAGCCGGCGGGCGCGCTCAGGCGCTCAGCAAAGGGCAGCCTCCTTTGCTTCCACGCGGAGACTAAGGTGATGACAATCCTGTTCAGGACGACCTTCGCCTGTTCCCGCAGCGGCAACACGTGCGGTCCCAGCTGGATGAAATTACGCTTCATCGCCTTGCCCGCCACAGTAACAATGTCCTTTGAGAGGGCCACCCCTTTGTTGCCAGTGGCATCCTCGCGCTGGTAAACGCAGCCGTAGGAATTATCCTCAGACACCTGCACAGATTGAATCAACGCCAAATCGGTAATTTGGGTCGAATCGGAACGTGAGCCGGATCTAGCCGCATAGGCACGAAGACGAAATCTAATCGGATCGGCCGCGCCAGGATGCACAACCGCGCCGCGCAAACATCGGGGGGGGGACCAACGCGGGCTAATTGCAGTAGATTCGCCTGTTCTGCGGCGTGGCCAACACGATGCTTATCACAATAGCTAACAAGCACAACGGGAGCCCGCTGCCTCGATCGTGGGCCCCAGGGGAGCGAGCACCAGGACTAGTCTTCCCTGGCCCTTTCGGGCAAATGACTGGCGACCGATCGCGAGAATGGTGATGAAAAGGAGAATGGGGAGGCGTTGATCGCAGCTGCGGCTTTGCACCGTCTCCAGGTGACCCATGGATTCTCTCGTGGCCCTCTCGGCCACTCTCGGGGTCTTCTGCGGGCCATCTGAGGGCGTCGTGGGGTTTCTCCGAGGCCCCCGAGATGGCCTCACGAGACTTTGGAGAACCATGAGGGGGCTTTCGTTTCCAAGAGCGCCGAACCGGGTCCTTGTTGGCCTCTCGAGTCCCTCCTGGCATTTCGGAGCCCTCCTCCTCAACCTCGTCATCCCCCACTGCCTTCTCATACTTCCTGGAGCAACAGCTGCCGGGTTCATCATACCCGCCTCGTCACCCCTCAACCTGCCCCTTTCCTTTCCTACCCCACCTCCTCCCCTTCGTGTTCGTTCCTCCGCTTCTCCTGTTCCTGCTGCCTCCTTCGGCGGTGGACAAACCTCCCTTTGGTAAACCTCCCCTTAGTGAAAACGGCCTGGGACCGAAACCGACGGACCTGGACTCGCAAAAATGACGGACGCGACGCCCTCTCGCGAACCGACAACGGCCAATTTTCTAATCGACGTGTGAGGGTAGAGGGTCTGTCCACCCCGGACTCCTTCGTCTTCCGCCTCCCTTGAGCAGGGACCGACCATCCCGGCATTCCTATAGCCCTACCACGGAATGTTCTTAGAACCCAAAAATGTTCTAAGAACACAAACGATGTTCTTCGAGCATAAACCCGATGTGTTAAAACAAGATAGTCCCCGCCAGAAATGTTCCAAGAACATTTCCTGGAAACCACAAAAGGTTATTAGAACATTGCTTGGTGGGGCTATAAGCACGCCAGGACGCTTCGCCACTGCTTGATCCGTCGCCATCCTCTCTCCTCTTCCCCCAGGACCGGCAGGGACGGCCCCCTCTGGGCCCTCGGAGGGCCGACGCGGGAAAGAGAAGCCTCTGGCGCCGACGTGGGGGCCGACAGGAGAGGCCCTCTCTGGCACCGACCAAGCGGGCTTCGTTGAAGAGGCCATGGGACACACAAATAAATAGACACAACCAAAAGGATTACCTATATTTTCCAATATTTTCAGGGTTTTTGTCTCCCCCCCCACTTCCCATATTTTCCCATATTTTCTGGGGGATCGACGACTAATTGTGTCTGTGTGCTTCTTTTCCTCCTGATTCGTGGCCCACGAGCCCCCCCCTATCGTTAAGTCGGGCCTGTCCCCCTACAGGGGGATTTTGGGCAAAACATTAAAAGTACTCACAAACAAACCCGAATGGGCAAAACTTGTCAAACAGTCGTCCCCAGACTTTCTTTGCCCGTTTTTGAATATCCCTCCTGTAGAGGGACAGGCCCGATATCCTGGGGGCGGGGAGGAGGAGGGGGCCGGCCGAGAACCTAACCCTCGCGCTGTGGGCAGCCCTGCATATGCCCGCTCCCCCCCTCCCCCGGACCTGCACAACCGGCAATGTTAGTCGGGCTGGGCGAAAGGGAGGGATAGCAAAAGGGGGGTTTGAGAATCAGCTCACGTAGCTGATTTTCCCGGCGCCTCCCAGCGCCAGAGGCGGCCATGTTTCAAGGAATGGGCCCCTCGGCGGGGCCGAAACCAGCTGCATGCAGCAGATTTCGTAATCCCCCCTTTCCATATCCCCCCCTTTCGCTCGGCCCGAATTAGGTTATCCTGGGGGGGGAGGGGGGGCAAGCCCGATGACCTGGGCTATCGCCCGACCCTAAAAAAACAGTCTCCTGTCGGGCCCCTCTCCTCGGGCGGGCACAAGACGCCCATGTTTGGACGCCCGAAATGGGTACGGAAAAAAATAATACAATGCCCAATAACAAATGTTGTCCCAATCCAACGGCGGCCGCTGTTGGGCAGGCGGCCTTCTGCCTCGAACGGACACAGGCCGCGGCGGCGTGGACAGCGAACCCTGTTCAAAATGAACAGGAACTGCTGTTGGGCATTGTATCCGTTCTTTCCGTGCCCATTTCGGGCGTCCAGACCATGGGCCCCCCCACCTCCTCCTTCTCCTCCTCTTCCTCTCCCTGCGCTTCCTCCTCCGCCTCCTCCTCCGCCGCCTCCTTCTGAACCTCCTCCTCCTACGCCTCCTCCACCTCCTCCTCCTCCTCCACCTCCTCCTCCTCCGCCCCCTCCTCCTCCGCCTCCTCTTTCGCCTCCTCCTCCTCCGCCTCCTCCTCTCCTGTCGGGCCCCTCTCCCCGGGCGGGCACAAGACGCCCATGGGCCATGGGGGGCCGACGAGACGAGGCGGCCCGTGGCCGACGAGACGAGGCCCCCCTCGGCGCCGGCCGAGAAGACCCACTGCGGCCGGCGACGGGGGGGGGGCTCCTCCTCCTCCTCCTCCTCCTCCTCCTCCTCCTCCTCCTCCTCCTCCTCTCCTCCTCCTCCTCCCTCCTCCTCCTCCCTCCTCCTCCCTCTCCTCCCTCTCCTCCCGCTCCTCCCGCTCCTCCCTCTCCTCCCTCTCCTCCCTCTCCTCCCTCTCCTCCCTCTCATCCCTCTCCTCCTCCACCTCCTCCTCCTCCTCCTCCTCCGCCTCCTCCTCGGGGCGGACGAGACAGTCCGAGACGTCCTCGGAGGAGGGCCCAAGTTCTAAATCTGCGCGGTCGCCCCGGAGCCAATGACTCACCACCGCACCGTCCGTTCCCACACGTCCGATGTCCTGACTCTGTCGATGCGGGGCCCCTGGACGTCCCGACTCTTTCCCCGGAGCCCGATGCTCATCCCGAGTGTTTTTTGACGGCTTCGGGGCCTGGCGAAGGCCCTCAGAGACCGAACGGGAAACATACACAAGAGCAATGAAAGCAGCAATTCCGCACTGTCTTTTCAAGACGTGGTCTCGACTAGCCTGGTGGATGCCATGACAATGGACAATCTAACAATCCTATCATTGGATTAAGCATGCGTTTAGCATGTGTAACACATGTGTCAAATATGTTTTCTTATATGTTCAAAACATGGTTGAAACATGTCTCAGACATCTGGAAATCATTTGGCAGCATGCTTCCCCTCCATCAAACGACGTCCACAAGACCAGCCCTCCCATGAGCCCAACCTCCGAGAACTGGACCCTGCCCGCGCGCCGCGCCAGCCCTCCTTCGAACGTCTAGCCTCGGGGCCATAAAAAAACTCGGGCTTCTGGCGGCCTCTCGACAACGCCCTCGGCGAGGCGCAGCTCCTGGCACGCATCCCGAGATACGGTGGAGGGAAACAAGTAGTAAACACCCCCCCTGCCCCCCAAGCTGAAAATTGGCACGCGCGGGGGAGACTGCGGTCGAGGTGCAACTCGTCAGACCCACCGCAAACTTTGAACATGGGGGGAAGGGCGAGGCGTTGACAGATGAATGTGGCATGAGTGTTCGCTATTTTTTCCGAGGCCTGTAGGACCCCCGCAGGAGCCGACGAAAATGCCCGAGAACGCAAAATTCCAACAGGCACACCACACGGCGCAGTCACCGCACCGTCTGCCGGCGGCGAGCCCAGGAGGGAGGTGAGAGGGAGCAGGCCTTCACAGAGGGCGCTGGGCCTTCCCAGAAGCCCTCGCGACCTCTGAGAAGTGCTCCGAGCGCTCGCCGGAGACGGAGACGACTTCCCACGGAAGGCCAGAAGGGCGTCTGAGAAGCCCCGCTCTCGCTCGCTGCCCCCCCCCCTGGGCTCGCCGCCGAGGTTCGGGGGCCCCCGCGCTGGGGCCCGCCTGGGCGCGAAAGGTGTAGAGGAGCTTGTACTTGGCGCGGAGGCAGTCCCGCCTGCGGCTCGAGAGCACGAGTGCGCAGCCGCCGCAGCGGAAGAGCGTGTTCTGGAGCAGCATCGACTTGTCGTTGCCTGCGGGGGCGCCAACGGGACGGGGGGCGCCCCCCGGGAGGGCAAGAGGCGGCTCTCAGTTCGCAGTTGCAACCGAGGCCTCCCAACTTGGGTCCGAGTAGGATGGTGTCGGAGGATCGCGCCGCATCGCCGATGTATCGGCGCCGTCGGCGTGGAGGAAATTGGGCTCCACATCGAGTCGTATCGTGAGTGCATCGGCGATGCGGCGCGATCCTCCGACCCCATCTGCTCGGATCCCACTGGGGAGGCCTGAACCCAACGAAAGCGGCACGGCGCCTGGGGGCGCCCGGTCATTCAGTGGCCAAGGACGTACAGGTTTCCAACCAGTTTCCGCTCCAATGGGCGTTCTGCAGCAGAATTGCAAGATCCTCCATCACAACTGAGCGACGAAAAGAAACGGGCCTTACGCGAGATGGCATAGCGGCACAACGCCGCGGCGTACGCGGGCCGCCAGCGCGGCACGCTATATTGGCAACGAGGGCGCTTCCGCGCGACCTTAGGCAGGCAGCTTGCGCACCAATGTTGGCGCATCCGACACCGATGTGTTTCGTCGCTCAGGTGTGTGTTTTGCACCGCCGTCGTGAGATCATCGGTTCACCTCCGTCTGGACCGTCTGGACCTGCGTCCACGAGAGGGGGGTCGCAAATCATGGGGCCTGCGGCACTTGCGCGGCCCAGGAGAGGGGGGGGTCCAAAGAACGTACTTTGCCCAGGAGGAGGGGGCCGTGAAACCCGGGGAGATGTCGTGGCCCTGGCCACGAGATCCCCCTTGTCGGGCGCGGCCCTAATCGACCCCTGCTGTGACCAGCATATTCCGTGACGTCGTGCTCGCCTTCCAATTTTCTGCCAGGTCGCATATACAAGGAGTTTGGATAAACAAGGGTTCGCACAAAAACAAGGATATTTAAATTCTGGGTCGTCGCGTAGAGTTTGGAGTTTGGAGTTCGTGCCGCATCCCGGACGCTGCGTCCGCTCCCTGACATTTGCCTTGGAGCCGCGAACCAAAAAAGCGTAGAGTTTGGAGCGCCGCGCCAGGGCGAGCCACAAAATGATGATTAAACAAACAAGAAAAAGCGCAATGACGCGGCACTAAACAAAACAAGGTTTTCCATGATGGAATCTGCGCCAATCCGCGTGAAGCCCTGCATACGTCTTGGGGTGAGGCAAGGGGGACGTCACGCAAGGGGATGGTCTGCTAGGAGTCGGCCAGGCCGCCCCTGGGCGCAGTCCCCACCCCCATCCGAAGCCATCCGGCCTCTGGCGGCCGGGGTCAGGACGGTCCGGGCACCCCTGGACAGCTCTCGACGCGGCGCAGCTGCTGCAAAGGCATCCCTCCAGGCGAGGAAAGCCTCAAGCACCAGCGAGAGCTTCCTCCACCCCTCTCCCTTCGACGACGACGGCGCCTCCCCCCGCCGTCCCCCCCGCTGCCGGTGTACAGGTTCTGCGTCAGGTTCTCGGTGGAGATGACGAGCGCCCGCGAGCCCGGGCTGTTCTGGAGCAGCTCCTGTAAGGAGCCGGGAGGCGCCGAGGCGTAGACCTGCACCGGCCCCGGGGCTCGGGCTCGCAACGGGCCCAGGGGAGGCGTACGTGCCCTCCCAGCCTGGGCAGGAGGGCACTTGTGCACGGTGTCCCCCGGGGCCGCAGGCGACCCGAGGAGGAGGAGGAGGAGGAGGAGGAGGAGGAGGAGGAGGAGGAGGAGAGGAGGAGAAGGAGAAGAGAAGGAGGAGAGGAGGAGGGGGAGGAGGAGGAGGAGGAGGAGAGGAGGAGGAGGGGAGGAGGAGGAGGAGGAGGAGGAGGAGGAGAGGAGGAGGAGGAGGAGGATGAGGAGGAGGAGGAGGGGGAGCAGGAGGAGGTGTCGCCTAAGCCCTTCGGAGCAACCCTCCAGGCACATGCACCGACCCTGGGCTTAGGACCGGCTTGGCCAGGATCGGTGCGGGTGTACGGCCGGTGCTCTCTTCTTCCAGCCACGGGCGCGAGGGGCAGCACTGCGCTACGGCCCCACCGAGGGACGGCTGGTGCCCTCCGGTCCTGGGCCAGGTCCACGGCCACCACGTTTGCGGAGCAGCCCATGCCGCCCAAGTTGTACGTCCGGACGTCCTCCCGCATCCGGAACTCGTTGCACACCAGCGCGCAGAGCGACGGGGTGGGGACGAAGAGGGAGCAGTTGACGATCAGGATGTCAACCTGGGTGGGCGACAGCCCCGACCTGTGCAGGGCCTCCTTCACCAGCGGGAAGAGGACGGCCTTCGCGTGTGGATGCCATGACCATGGACACTCTCACAGCCCTACCATTGAATGTAAAATGTGTGCAAAATGTCGGAAACATGCTCTAAACATGTGTTTTGCGCGTTTAAAACATGTCTAACACGTGTTTTAGACATCTGGAAAGCATTTGGCAACATGCCTCCTCTGCATTGATCGTCCTCCACAGGCCTTCGCCTCCTCCCGGGCGGCGTCGACGGTGATCTCCGCAGGCGTGGCCCCGTCCCGGCAGGGGATCATGCACGGCGGCCAGTGGGTTCGGTCGCTCGTGCCGGAGCGCTCGAGGACGCGCCTCAGGAAGTCGAGCGTCTCCTGGGAGAAGCAGCCCTGCTCACCGGCCTCGAACCTATCCCTGTTCCTAAGATTGACACGCCAAAAAGCGATGACAATCTTAGGGACGCGCCCTCAAAAAAACAGGGAATCCCCAAGAGTGGCATCGTGATGGGGAGATGCCCAGCACAGGGCTGGGGATGTGTTCCAGGCTGGTAACCTGCGCCCGCATCATCGTCATGATGTCCTCCCGCGACACCTGCCAGCTCTTTTCGGGGATGGACAGACCTCCCTTTAGTAAAACGTGGTTTAGTGAAAACGACTTCGGGCCCAAACATGGCGGGCGCAAGCCTGGTAAATATCGGCCACGGCGCCCTCTCGAAAACCGAAAGCGGACAATTCACTAATCGACGTGTCACTATTGGGGGTCTGTCCACCCCCGATCTTTGGCGGCACGAAGACGCAGTTCTCGAGGCAGTAGACGGACGGCTTCCGGCGGCTGAGGTAGGCCACGACCAGCACCACGATGGCTAAGACCTGGAGGCGGGAGCGGGCGAGCGGCGCCCCGTCGGGGCCGGGCGAAGACCGGGTGGAGGGGGCCCTGGCCCCCAGGATCTGCCACGCACGGTGCCACCCTGGAAGGGGGGCAGGGAGTGAGGGGGAGGAGGAGGAGGAGGAGGAGGAGGAGGAGGAGGAGGAGGAGGAGGAGGAGGAGGAGGAGGAGGAGGAGGAGGAGGAGGAGGAGGAGGAGGAGGAGGAGGAGGAGGAGGGAGGGGGGCAGGGGGGAGGGGGCAGCAGAAGGCGACGGTCCAGACCTGAAAGAAGACGGGGTCACTCGCCAGCGCCTTCGCGCTCGCGAGCGTCGACGAAGGCCAGGGCAGCCAAGACCGCTGGGACGATGAGGATCGGCAAAAGTAGTCCCCCCACCTCGTCCTCTTACCCCTCCTCCTCCCCCTTGCCCTCTTCCCCCTCTCTTCTCCGTCCTCCTCCTCCTCCTCCTCCTCCTCCTCCTCATCCTCCATCTCTGGTGGAAGCTGGCGTGCTCCCCGACGCCAGTAGGCACTACTGCAGCATGGATATGGCTCCCTTCTTGGAGCCAAGTTCGTGGCTTCAGGACGGGCGAGGTGCCCAGCGCCCACCCACCTCTGGGTCCCCCTGGGCCTTCTGAGCGGCGCTTGCGGAGGCCGTCTGGAAGGCTGGGGCCACCTCGGGCGCACGCCGCCCCTGGGAACGCCCGAACCTCAACTGGATCTCTCAGGCTGGACGAGGGATGGATCGCAAAGGGGGGGGGGGTTCACGAATCTTGGTGGTCCCCACACGTGGTGGTGAGAACACCCTGTGGTGAGTTTGGGGCGATCTGGGTAACGGTTTTCGAGCGCTGGCTGGCCCAGGAAACGCAAAACCTCGTGGCGATCGCGCGTCCCCAAACCCGGTGGTGACCAAGAATTATTTTTTGGGGGGGAATCGGGGTCACCACCGGGTGTCTCACCACCTGGTTTGGAGACCACCAAGAATCGCGTCACGCGGCCGGTGTCCCCGGCGCTGCCCGACTCCGGCGAGGCACCCCGGGCATCGAGTGGGGCGCCCAGCGCCGGGGCCGGAACCAGCGACGTGCGGCGGAGTTCGTACCCCCCCCCTTTACTCGGGAGCGGCAAAGAGGGGGGCGTCCAAGAGGGGGGGGGCGCAAATCATGACCGGCGGCATGTGCGCGGCCCAGCGGGGGGGCCAGGGACGTAATGAAATGAGAAGGGGCGCCATGAAATCTGGGGAAAAATCATGGCCCCCGCCATGACATCCACCCCCCCCTAGTCATCACCCCCCTCTTTTCCGCCCCCGATTTACCCATCCCCCCCCCCCTTCTCGCCATCGCTCGGACGTCCATTCCCCGTGCGTTTCTCGTTCTCGTGCGTGTGTTGTTCGCTCGATGCTCAAGAATGCTCCTCGATGGTCGTCGCCAAGAAAGCATGCACACGTCCGAGCGATGCCAAGCCCTCGCCGTCCGACCCGAACCTCACTAATATCCCTGTGGCTTCAGCTGCCGTGAGCTAGGTCGTGGATCCCGGAGAAGAGCTGCCAGGCTACCACGGCCGTCAGCGCCCAGACCGCCACCGTGGTGGCGTAGAGGCTGTACTCCGCGCTGTACACGTGGCTCCAGTTGATCATCCGGATCCGGAACGACTTCGGGTCCCACAGATGGGTCGGGGCTGCCGCTAGAGCAGATGGCAGAAGACCCACCCTGATGAGAAGCAGACCCCATGCAAGCAAGGCCCATTAGTAAGCACACCCGGGGGAAGAACCGAACAGGGCAGCAATGTTTACGAAACGCCCATGACCTTCTGGTATGCGCCCCTACTGGAGGTCGAGATGCTGTTTTCTCACATGATAAGAGGGTTATGGTAAGGAGGGGCCCGAACATGAGTATACGTTGCCGAGTTCTTCGGGGTCACGGCCCCGCCGAACACAACGCTTGGCGCGTGATCGGGGCATCAGAAGACAAGTCAGCCAGTTCCCTCTGCTCCTCCTGCCTATTCCTCCGCGCCTTTCCTGACTACCTACCAGACCACCCCAACCCAACCCGAAGACCGAGTTTGACCCGAATTTCGGGTTGGGGGGGGGTACGGTCTCCACGTCTCTTTTCAGTGTTCCCCGAACCCCCCCAACTGGAACTGGAGGGCAGCTTGAGGCCTTCGGGTTGGGTTGGGGTGGTTTGGTGAGAGGTGAGTTCCCCCCGATCCCCCCCACCCCCACCCCCAGAGGCTCGCAGAGGACCCCATCGCAACGCCCCTCCGGTCGAAGACCCCTAGACTTACGTCGGGCCTGTCCCCCTGCAGGGGGATTTTCGACGAAAAATAAAAAATACACCAAAAATACCCCAAGAAGGCCAAACAATACTAACAAAATAATCCCCAGACATGTTTTTTTTTTTTTAAATCATTTTTGACTATTTTGGACCCCTAGACCCCTAGACACCTCGACGCCGTGGCGCGGACGGAGGGCCACGGCGGGGGCCCGCAAGCAAGGGGGCCACGCTGGGCCACCGGCCCCTCGGGGTCCCGGGCTGTGGGGGGCCACCGGGGGCCTCCGGCTTCGGGGGCACGGGCCCCCTCGCCGAGCGTCAGAGGAGCCGCCAGGAACCCCCTCGCAGTCGAGCGGCTCGGGGGGGGTATCAGACCCGCGAATAGGAGGACAGCCGCAAATGAAGGGGCCCTGGGACACACAAACAAATACACACTAATAAAGATATTCCATATATTCCCATATTTTCAGGGTTTTTGTATTCCCCCCCCCTTCACAGATGTTCCCATATTTTCTGGGGAATCGACGATTAATTGTGTCTGTGTGTTCTTGTTCCCTCCTGAGACAAACGGGCTCCAGATGACGGACGCCCCGACCAGGGCTGGACCTAAACGGTGTTTTTCGTTTTCGTCTCGTTTTCGTTTTCCCTCGTTTTGACTTCAATCCGCCTCTGCCGCAGAACGAAATCGAAACGAGAACGGCCCACGAGCTCCCCTAAACACCGTTCAGGTCCAGCCCTGGCCCCGACCTCAGAAGCATGTACTCCAGATTTCGTAATAAGAGGGAGGGGGTCTCATTTCGGGGGGGGGTCTCTTCCAAGCTATCTTGGAGGGCCTGGGGGGGTCTGGGGACGATGTTTTGGAGGGTTCTCCCACGGGGGAGGTCTGAAATGGCTTGTCTTGGAGGGTCCAGACCCCCTCCCTTTTATTTCGAACTCTGGAGTAGACATAACGTAAATCTGTCCCAGGACCGCGCAGATCTCTTCGATCGGCGGTGCCCCCATCCCCCTCTCTCTGGCGCGCGGAGTGCGCCAAGGGCGGCGCCAGAGGCGCCGCCAGGAGGGCCCAGCGCACATCTCAGAAATCCGCGCAGACCTCCGAAAGATCGTGCCTACGACGTTTTTTGCTCTTCGACTCGCCCGATCAAAGTGGACGTGGGCGGCGCTGGATAAACTGGCAGAGGCTGAAACGAGCCCGAACCACTCAAGTGAGGTCGCTGAGGCTGGAAAAGCTGGAGGAGACTGGCCAGGGCTAGAAATTGAGCAGGGACCGACCGTTCTGGCATTCCTATAGGCCCACCACGAAATTTCCTTTGAACCCAGAAATGTTTTAATAACAACAACAAGGTTCTTATAACATATGCCCGACGTGTTAAAACAAGGCAGTCCCAGCAAGAAATGTTCTAAGAACATGTCGTGGAAACCACGAAAGATTCTTAGAACATTTTTTGGTGGGCCTATAGGCACGCCAGGACGCTTCGCCACTGCTGGAAGAAAGAATGGAAGCGCTGGCCAAGGCCGCTTTTTCTAGCTTCCCTGTGCGAGCAGACGCGACGTAAAGGCGGAGTAGGGGCCGGAGCAGGGCCAGAGGAACTTCGCCCTAGACGGCCCCTGGAAGGAAGAAATGTGAGCACACACCCGGGCTCGCTCCCCAACCCCACCTTGGGTAGAGGGCCAGAACACTGCGTAGACCCGACTTCTTGGAGGTTCGCGCGGATAGCTTGGATTTGCGCTGGAGCCCCCGTCCATGGCGAGCGGGGCGCGTCAGGGGCGGCGCTGGTGGCGCCGCCAGGGGACCCCAGCGCCGATCCAAAACATCCGCGCAGAGCTCTGAGAAGTTAGAGCTCCTGGAATTGTTCGCTCCTCGATTGTTGAGCAGGGGCCGACCGTCCCGGCATTCCTAGTCCTACCACGAAATGCTCTTAGAACCCAATGCTGCTCTCAGAACGAAAGCGATGTTCTTAGAACATAAACCCGATGTGATAAAACAAACCAGTCCCAGCCAGAAATGTTCTAAGAACATCTCGTGGGAACCACAGAAGGCTCTCAGAACATTGTTTGGTAGGACCATAAGCACGCCAAGACGCTCCGCCACTGCTTGACCCTTCGATTGGGAGAGCGCCCCCGCTGAGAACCACCGCTCTCGCCAGCAGCCCCGAGATAGATGTCACCGGCATCGCCTGCCACGCGGCCGTGGCCGTCGCTGGAGCCGGGGCCGCCGGCCCGCCCCGAGGGCCAGGGCGCGGGCAGGGCGCACGCTCGGGGGGCCAGGAGGGCGAGAGGGCGCCAGGGCGAGGGGAGCGGGGGCGAGGGCGCGGGCCTCCCTCGCCCCCTGGCCCCCCTCCCCCCCTCGCCCCGACGCGCTTCCTGCCTCCCTGCCGCCCCTCGCCATCGCTCGGACGTCCATTCCCCGTGCATGTCTCGATTTCGTGCGTGTATTCTTCGCTAGATGATTAAGAATTCTCCTCCATGGTCGTCGCCAAGAAAAAATGCACACGCCCAGGCGATGCCAAGGCCCTGAGCGCCATCCTCCCATGCCTGCCCCGTCTCCCAATCACCCCTGCCGCTCCCAATTTTTGTGTTGGACGCCAGCCACGCATGACAATCTTGGCCGTTGCGCTCTTCCGGTAACGATGCGCCTGCGCGGCGCGGAACGAATGACGAAACGCCGACTCAGGCCTGCAGGCCAACAACTCACGCATGGTGGCCTCAGCACAGGAACGCGCAAGAGGTAAAACAAAAACAATGGCCCCAAGAGGGCGCAAAGTAGACGGTAGCCAGGCGGTGTGTGTAGAGGAAGGGAACCATATATAATCGAAACAAGCAATGGAAAACCAAGTATACTGGGAGGAGTAATCATCTGAACGGAATGAGCAAAATACGCGTGCAGGTACAGCAGGCAGGTGTGTCAACTGGCCTGTAAGTGTATATCCTCTGGCCGCTGGCCGAGAGAGTGCTGGGCCATTTGTTGAACTTGAAAAAAAAAAAGGAATCTATGGAATTCCCCTCTTTTCAAGTTCCTCGGTCTTGGAGCGTTGGAAGACGGGAAACGTGAGAAGGCGAACAACGTCGACAAAAACCACTTGAAATCAACGATCTTACCCTTTTCGGGCTCTCTCGGGCCGGCTCTCGAAGTTCTCTTGGGCTGTTTTGGGGTACTCGTCGGGGCTTTTTTGGGGGCCTCTCAGGGGTCTGGGGTGTGTTGGAGGCCTCTGTGGGAACCCGGAATCCCCTCGGAGGTCTCTGGAGGCCTCCTGCTCCCGCTCTTGGGCTCATCTTGGGCCTGTTCTTGGGAGGTTTGGAGTTGTCCCAGGCGCCTCTTCGGCAGCCTTGGGGCCGTCTTGGCCCGTATTGGAGCCGTCTTGGGGGCCTCTTCGGCCGTGTTGGAGCGTTGTAAGCATGAAGTAGTGACAAGGCCAAACACACTTTAAACAAAAAATGAAAATTGACGAGTTAAGGTCCTTCAGGCGCTCTTGGGCTGTCCTTGGGCGTTTTGGGGGCTCCCCGGGAGGCTGGGACGCGCGGTGCTGGGCGCGCAATCCAAATGTGGCCGACGTGGAGGACGGCCCGGGAAGGGGCCAGGCTTATTTGTTGGTCGTGTATGGGATTATATGGTAGTACATGTATTATATAATATTACATCATATATGAATATTATATGCTATCATATCACATGGTATTATATTGTAGTATACTATACCTATACGACCACCCTTCGGGTGATAAGGAGGTGAGGGGGGGGGGGAAGGGACCAACGTCGCACTCGATCGATCTTACTATCGAACTCACTACCGATCTCACAATCGATCTCAATCGATCGATCTCACAATCGATCTGACTATCGATCTCACAATCGATCTCACAATCGATCTCACATTCGGTCTCGCTATTGATCTCACAATCGATCTCACAATCGATCTCACAATCGATCTCACATTCTATCTGACTATCGATCTAACTATCGAACTCACTTTGGATCTCATTATTGATCGTACATTCGGTCTCACTACCGATCTCACTATCGATATCACAACCGATATCACAATCGATCTCACATTCGGTCTCACCATCGATCTCACTATCGAACTCACTATCGATCTCATTATCAATCTCATAGATCGATCTCACAATCGATCTGACGATCGATCTCACAATCGATCTCACAATAGATCCCACTATCGATCTCACATTCGGTCTCACTGTCGATCTCACTATCGATATCACAATCGATCTCACAATCGATGCCCCATTCGGTCTCACAATCGATCTCACTACCAATACCACTATCGATATCACAATCGATCTCACAATCGATCTGACATTCGGTCTCACGCTCGATCTCACAATCGATATCAGTATCGATCTCACTATCGATCTCACATTCGACCTCACTATCGATCTCACTATCGATCATCAAAATAAAACACCAACATCATCATCACCATCATCATCAACAACATCAACATCAACATCAACATCAACATCAACATCAGCATCAACATCAACATCAACATCAATCATCATCATCATCATCATCATCATCATCATCATCATCATCATCATCATCATCATCATCATCATCATCATCATCATCGGGTCACCAACGGGACACCAACGGGACACCGGCGGGACACCGCGGGCCCCCGGCCGCCCGGAAGGGAGACATTTGGTCCGGCCGCGCCTCAGCCACACGGGACACCAGCGGGACACCGGCGGGACACCGCGGGCCCCCGGCCGCCCGGAAGGGAGACATTTGGTCCGGCCGCGCCTCAGCCACAGGAGACTTTCTCTCGCCCGCCCACGCAGCTTCGCCTCGCCCGCACGGCACGCACGAACACGAAACCGAAATCGATTTCCCGGTAGGGGGGCTCTCCGTTCCACTTCGATCTCAGCCCCTCACCTCCGATTATAGCATACATATGGAATTATACCTATACGACCACCCTTCGGGTGATAAGGAGGTTCGGGGGGGGGAGGAACCAACGTCTCACTCGATCGGTCTCACTATCGATCTCACTATCGATCTCAGTATCGGTCTCGCTCGATCGATCTCCCTCGATCGATCTCACAATCGATCTCACTCGATCTATCTCACAATTGATCTGACTATCGATCTCACAATCGATCTCACAATCGATATCACATTCGGTCTCACTATCGATCACACTATCGATATAACAACCGCTCTCACAATCAGCGTCATCATCATCATCAACAGCAACATCAACATCAACATCATCATCACCAACATCATAATCGGGACACCGTCCTCATCATCAACACCAACATCATCATCATCATCACGGTCATCAACATCATCGGGACACCACCATCATTATCATCATCATCATCATCATCATCATCATCATCATCATAATCATCATCATCATCACTATCATCACAATCATCATCATCAACATCATCATCATCAGCAGCATCGGGACACAGTCATCGTCATCATCATCAGCAGCAGCAGTATCATCATCGGGATACCATCATGATCACCATCGTTATCATCATCATCATCAGCATCATCATCATCAACATCATCATCATCATCGGGACACCATCATCATCATCATCATCACCATCTCATCCTCAGCACCGACATCATCATCATCAGCATCATCAACATCATCATCGGCATCATCATCATCGTCATCATCGGGGCACCATCATCATCGGCATCATCATCATCATCATCGACATCATCATCATCATCATCATCAACATCATCATCGGCATCATCATCATCATTACCATCATCAGCATCAACGTCATCATCATCATCGTCATCGTCATCATCACCATCGGGACGCCATCATCATCAGCATCATCATCACCATCAGAATAATCATCATCATCGGGACGCAGTAATCATCATCAACCTCATCATCATCAACATCATCATCATCGAGATACAATCATAATCAGCATAATCAACATCAACATCATCATACTCATCATCATCATCATCATCGGGACACCATCATCGTCATCATCATGATCATCAACAGATTCATCAGGATCATCATCATCCTCATCATCGGGACACCATCAGCATCATCATTATCATCGTCATCGTCATCATCATCATCATCATCATCATCATCGACATCATCATCATCATCATCATATCATCATCGGGACACCATCATCATATCATGTCATCATCATCGTCCTCATCATCATCATCAACATCATCATCATCAGCATCACCATCATCATCAACATCATCATCATCGTCATCATCATCAGCAGCATCATCATCATCAGCATCACCATCACCATCATCATCATCATAATCATCATCATCATCATCATCATCATCATCATCATCGTCATCGTCATCGTCATCATCATCGCGGGACACCGCGGGACACCGGCGGGACACCGCGGGGCACCGCGGGACACCGCGGGACACCGCGGGACACCGGGGGACACCGACATTTGGTCTGGCCGCGCCTCAGCCACACGGGACACCAGCGGGACACCGGCGGGACACCGCGGGCCCCGGCCGCCCGGAAGGGAGACATTTGGTCCGGCCGCGCCTCAGCCACAGGAGACTTTCTCTCGCCCGCCCACGCAGCTTCGCCTCGCCCGCACGGCACGCACGAACACGAAACCGAAATCGATTTCCCGGTAGGGGGGCTCTCCGTTCCACTTCGATCTCACCCCCCAACCTCCGATTACCTATACGACCACCCTTCGGGTGATAAGGAGGTTCGGCGGGGGGAGGAACCAACGTCTCACTCTATCGATCTCACTATCGATCTCACTATCGATCTCACACTCGGTCTCACATTCGGTCTTACGATCGATCTCACTATCGATGTCACAATCGATCGCATATTCGGTCTCAGTACCGATCTCACAATCGATCTCACTATCGATATCACAATCGACCTCACTAATGACATGATCTCGCAATGGAAATCACAACCGATCTCACTATCGATCTCACAATCGATCTCACTAATGATCTCGCAATGGGTCTCACATTCGGTCTCACTATCGATATCACAAACCCACATTCGGTCTTACAATCGATCTCACTATCGATATCACAATCGATCTCACATTCGGTCTCACTATCGATATCACAAGCCCACATTCGGTCTTACAATCGATCTCACTATCGATATCACAATCGATCTCACATTCGGTCTCACTATCGATCTCACAATCGATCTCACACTCGGT